CCCGCCCCTAAGCCCCCTGGGGAGTCAGCCCCACCATTTGTACAATTTTTAATCACCACCACCTAGGGATGCTTCCAGTCAAATATGGTTGATATCCACTTCTTAGTTCCAGAGAAGAAGTCGCTTAAAGCAATATGAGCAAATTGTCCCCTTTTGGCCCTGCCCCTCAGCCCCCTGAAGGGTCAGCCTCATTATTTGTATACAGTTAAATCCCCACCACCTAGGGATGCTTCCAGTCAAATTTAGTTTAATTCCAACCAGTGGTTAAGAAGAAGAAGTCGTTTAAAGAAATTGTTGACGTACGGACGGACGCCGGACGCCGGACGCCACGGTATGGCATTAGCTCACCTTGGTCCTTCGGACCAGGTGAGCTAATAATCCAACATAAAATGAAGCAGTAAGATTTGAAATTTGGAGCTTTCTCCCAACCCCCTGTAAACCAAGCTACAAGGAGTAAATACTTTTTTCAGTGAAGTAATTCCTTGCATGGATCTCATATTTGACCTTGAGGTCATATCTTTAAGAAGATAGCATCACCTTGAAAACAATTAAATATTTGTCAAAAAACAGATGTCTTTTCAATTCAAAATATTTCAGGGAGATTATGGCCTGTAATCCACATGTAAATGGTTTATATTTATTTTTAAATATATCACTCTGATTTTACATTTAAACGAAAAAAAACTGACTTCAAAATTTGATTAATATCAATGAAAATCTTGTCAACATTTTAACCAAAATCCAAGGTGTGTGGCTTACCATTTTGAGCAGATATCTCTCTAAGGAAGCTACTGAGGTCAACGGCTCCATCTTCAGGTTACATCCACTTCTATCTAACAGAGTGCTCTCCCCTGGAGCTCTTTCCAGCCGAAATCTCACACGTCTTGTCAGAATCTGTCAAGATAAATTTTCAATATAGATCTTCTAAATAAGACAATACAAATAAATATTTGTTACTCTTTAAAAGTTATGGATGCTACAGATTCATCACTAAGTGCACAGGGCAACCCTATACACAAACTCGGCCAACTGACTTGTACACAATACCCTGATCAAGGTAGGTGATAGTTACCGACAGGCTATAATACCAGGTAAATCAGAGCTATATACAGGTAACTCTACCAAACCAAGCTGGCCTCTTACCTGTAGACTGTATCCTGATCCAGGTAAATCAGAGCTATATACAGGTAACTTTACCAAACCAAGCTGACCTCTTACCTGTTGACTGTATCCTGATCCAGGTAAATCATAGCTATATACAGGTAACTCAACCAAACCAAGCTGACCTCTTACCTGTAGACCGTATCCTGATCCAGGTAAATCATAGCTACATACAGGTAACTCAACCAAACCAAGCTGGCCTCTTACCTGTAGACTGTATCCTGATCCAGGTAGATTTTAGCTATATATACAGGTAACTTTACCAAACCAAGCTGACTTCTTACCTGTAGACCGTATCCTGATCCAGGTAAATCATAGCTATATACAGGTAACTCTACCAAACCAAGCTGGCCTCTTACCTGTAGACTGTATCCTGATCCAGGTAGATTTTAGCTATATACAGGTAACTTTACCAAACCAAGCTGACCTCTTACCTGTAGACCGTATCCTGATCCAGGTAAATCATAGCTA